TGTCTGTATCATGCTAATAATTTGAAATTTTCACTTACAGACTGCTTGTGTTGCTTCAGTTTACATGGAAAATAGATTATTCTGAAATTTAGTTAACATACTTTAAGACTATCTTCCAAGCTTTAGTGCTGAACTCCTACCCTTTCATTAAATACTATTTTCACAAGACTTCCCTTCTTTCAGACAGATCACTTTTATCTTAAGATTTAATACTGCAAGAACTAGATATGTGAAGCCACTACAACTGTCCTAAGATTAGTCTGGGATTTTTAAATGGCACTTTCAGCCTAATGTGTCAGTTCCTGTGACCAGGATGGCAGTAAAACCACGCTGCACAACCAGTTTTGAGTTTTGTGAATGTTGAGTTCATGTGCAGTAGGAACTTCGTTATTTATAGTAAGCGTAGCAAAGAAGGGATATCTCCTTTCTCAGGTCTTAGAAGGTATATTGCTGTGCTTTCTGAATTAGAAAAAATAAGATTGCTTTTATTTTTTAAAATTCTTTACCATTTTTGTCAGTCAGAGAAATTCTAGAGACAACTTGGCATTATTTAAGAAAACTGAACTCCATCCATTATGGATTTGAGTAGTCATTTACTAAGATACATATTTTTGGTCATTATATATATTTTTCTACATATATGTCTAGCTTCTGTGTAGAGAAGATTAAGGCATAGCAAGTATACAAACATAAGATGCAGTGGTCCACTGTGAGTTTCAAAATGTTTATACCATTTTGACTTTTATAGGGGTTATCTTAAAATCTTCAGACCACAAAAAATTCCCTTAAGTATTTGAATTTTTATTAAATATTTTCTTATAGTCTGATATTCATAGATACAAAATTTATTCAAAATAGTGATTAAAACAAATATAGATACACTTGTTTAAAAACCTTTGCTATTCCGCTTTATTTTTGGTTGTTGTTGTGGTCACAGAACACAAATTGGAAAAATTACTTCATATTTGAAAGCAACGTTGTATTGTGATTTTATAAGGTAATCACAGTAGCAGTAACCAACAAAGTTAAATATTCTTTTATTTTCTAAAAAGCAAAAATAGCCCTTTGTATTTAAAACAACAAAAAACAAAACAGCGCCTACTTAATAAGTTACTTCTGAACTAGATTGTTATTTAAATCTACGATTAAAAGAAAATTAAGGATATTGTCCCAACTTTTTCTTCAACGTATTTCTTGAAAATAACTCATTACTATTCAGCAGGTTTGCTTTACTTGACAATAAAAGCATTTCAGTGACTCAGTTTCAACCTATAGGCATGATTAATTAGCATATAGTAGATGCCTGATTCTCTAGAATGGTTGTAGACTGGTATGTTTGGTAAACTTTGTATTCTGTTTATTGGGTGTTACCACAGACATCTCAATTTCTAAAGAATTATTATTAAAGCTAAAATCAGTGAATGACTTGAAGTTAACTTTCTCTAAGGAGTTTAAAAGACCTTAAGTCTCTTTGAGCATCTTGAGTGAATACTTGAACATCGTCATGTTGTATTTTATTTTAGCCATAGAGGGGGTTTTTTTTCTTCTGATGTTCCTTTTTGAAATACACTTTGATATCAGTTTCCTTGTTGTTTGTCTATTTCTCATAGAGTTTAAAATATATAACATCTCCTTATTTATATATTTTAGGTATATGAAGTCTAACAGAAGTATATACTATAAAAATGAGAAATGATATGAAAACATAGTATAGGATATTAAAGAAATTTTAAGGAAGTCTGGCAGTTAACTTGCAATACTCATTTCAAATGTTTACCCTTGTATTTTTAAAGAGTATGACAAAGTGTATAGAGAATATGAATTTTACATTAAAATAGTTGTCCATGGTCAAATACAGTTTTGACATGTGTTTAATCAGTTCCACACAGTTTCTTTCTTTCTTTCTTTCTTTTTTTATTATTTGCCAACACTTACAAGTAAAGAGATTTCACGTAAAATTCTGGATTTCCAGTTTTTCTTGAAAATGTTGAAGCAGAGAAATGGATGTTCCAATAATTCACAGACCCGGTCCTCTTAGACCGCCTTGCTTTATGCCTCTCTTGTCTGTCTCATTGACTTAACAGGAGCCACGTGTAGTACTGAGTAGAGGGTGAGCTTTGGAGCCAGATAGGATGTGTTCACAGTCTGGCTGTTCAGCACTTCCTAGTTGTGCGACTGTAAGCAAATTGCTTCATCTCTCTGTACCTCAGTTTTCTCTTTGGTAAAATGAAAATGATGGTGAAGATACGTCATTGAGTTGTTGGAAGGATGAAATGTGGAGTATATGTGAAGTATTTAGAGTAGTTTTTGTCATATATTCACTACTTAATAGATGTTAACTGTAATTAATAATGCTTTTTGCCTGACCCCATTAGGTGTTGGCATTTGGTGAGCCTTTCTTCTCCATAGTAGAGGATTTTATTTTTTAACCTGCTCATTCATTTGATCAGCAGAATGTATCAGATTCTATTTTATAATATAATTGCTTATCTACATTTTGCTCTCCTCTACCAGAGGGGCCCCCAACCCCCAGGCCATGGACCAGCAGCAGTCCGTGGCCTGTTAGCAACTGGGCTGCACGGCAGGAGGTGAGCAGCAGACAAGTGAGCGAAGCTTCATCTGTATTTACAGCCGCTCCCCATCACTCACATTACCACCTGAGCTCCACCTCCTGTCAGATCAGTGGCAGCGTTAGATTCTCATAGGAGCGGGAACCTTACTGTGAACTGCACGTGCAAGGGATCTAGGTTGCACATTCCTTATGAGAATCTAATGCCTGGTGATCAGAGGTAGAGCTGAGACAGTGATGCTAGCGCTGGAGAGCGGCTGCAAATACAGATTATCATTAGCAGAGAGGTTTGACTGCACAGAGACCATAATAAATCAATTGCTTGTAGACTCGTATCAAAACCCTATCAGTGAGCGGTAAGTGAAGACAGGCTCAGGGCCCCCACTGATTCTGCATTATGGTGAGTTGTATAATTATTTCATTATATATTACAATGTAATAATAACAGAAATAAAGCGCACAATAAATGTAACGTGCTTGAATCATCCCAACACCATCCCCCCTAACCCACCACCCCCACCCCCACCCCCCTGTTCTGTGGAAAAATTGTCTTCCACAAAACCAGTCCCTGGTGCCAAGAAGGTTGGGGACTGCTGCTCTACTAGATTATATTCCCCAGAGTTCCTTCTGTATAGTTAGTGCTCCATATATGTTAATTGATTTGTACACATAAGAAACAAGAACTGACAATGGCTTAGCTTTATGGATTTAGGATTTATGGCTTTAGAAATTCTTACTCTGTTGGCAGCAAAAGTTCTGCTTTCCCAAGTGTTGATTTAGCCTAACCCTCTGCTTCTTTTGTTTTAACCATAAGCTGAGGGGGAAAGGATGTTAACATCTGATCTAAGAGTGAGGGTGGGTGAGAGTTGGAGGGTTCTGATAAAAATGAGAAAGTGTTCAAGAGTGCTTTTATGAAATGAGAGTTTTAGAAATTAAGTAAACAGGATAAAGGAGCATTTTGTGATAGGAAAAGACTGGTCAAGGATTTGTGTGTTCATGGGCTTCTCTGGTATTTTCCTCCATAAGTGGAGACTATATCCTTTAAAATTACATACCCATTTTGGTTGGACTTGCTTTTCCAATTTAGCATTACACATTTCCTCTTCCTGTCCCCCCTGCTCTTAAAATTTAAAAGATTATGTTACTTACATTATTTTGGATGAAAAGTAGCAAACTCAGTCTATTATTTGGAAGATTCTGATTTGGGAAGTACAAATTCTCATTTGTACTTTATAGACATAAAAATATTATAAGTAGTTAGTGTACCTTGGAAGTTCAAAAACAATTTAATTTCTAAAAAAATATTAGAATTATTTATAGAAATGAGAATTGAGGAGGAAAACCTTCAAAAAATGAGAAGACACAGGTGGTTATTTATATAATCTTGCCTTTGGAAGTGGAATACCAGAGGCAGAATCCATAAAGAAGATACAGATATATTTGGCTACATAAAAATGAAGAAGTTACTATCTCCACAAAAACTATATGTAATTTGAAGACAGACACACTCTGAGAAAAATATATGTAGCATATGACAAAGGAATTACTGCTTCCCACTGTTGATGAGGGTCCAGGGGAAATGAATTGTTCTATTATATACAAATCTTTCTAGAGCATAATTTGGCAAAACTTATCTTAAAATCTTATTTTTTAAAAATAAATATTTTGGTCCAGCAATTATGCTTATAGGATTTTATCCTAAGGAAATAATCATGGATACAGCACAGAGGTATTACTGGAAGATATCCATTGTGAGGCTATTCATAGTGTTGGGGAACTAAAAGCATCCTAATTGTTTGCTAATAAGGAATTGGTTACATCAATTGTTATAGCTATATAAAGAATACCAGGGATCCATTAGAAGTGATAATACAGACTTTTTTATGAGAAGGAAAATACTCATGATAATTTATATAATCGGTATACTTAGCATGGTGGATCACATTAAACTATATGTATTTTAAATGCCCAGAAAGAATACATAGAATAAACTGAAATGTTAACAGTGGTGTTTTTAGCTAATATAATTACAAATGATTTCAGTTAGCTATATTTTCCATATTTTGAAAGTTCCTATAGTAAATGTGTATTATTTTGGCAGTAAAATGAAGGATATTATAAATGTGACAGTGATTTAACTTACAATTCAGCTTTTTGTGTAGAAGTTTACTGAAAATAAATGTAACTGAATGTTGAGGTAGAGGTTACCAGTGAAGTTCAGATTTGGGAAGAAATTGTTGAAATGAAAATCTTGTGCCACTTTTTCACTTCTTTTACATATATGCCTACCAATGTGTAGTAACAGTCCCTGGAGCCTGTGGAAAATTTGTTAATGTTTGTCATGCTCATTTAATCATTTTCCATTTTGCATTTATTCCCAGTCGTAGCAGAAAAAAATTTATCATTTTTCTCCATATTTTTCATCTCCCAGGTGGTCACTCTTGGTGACATTGTCCAGTTCTCACAATGTATCATTCCTTATCTGAAACTAGACATCCTCTGCAGCCAGAAGAACAAGAAGTGGGCATTGACCCCTTGTTGAGTTACTCACACAAGCCTGGAGGTGAGTTTTGTATGCAGATAATTTTGAGGTTACTGGGAAACATGGCAGAGGGTCTCCAGCTAGCTCTGCCTGCCTTGTGTGTCATTCTCTAGAGAGGCTGAGCGGGAGAGCTTTAAGAACATTTCCCTGGATAGATATGGAGCGCTCTGACACTGATGGATTCCACAAAACGTCAACTTTTAATAATAGACAGACGCATTAGCTATAGCTAAGTGTTTAATGCACTGTGATTCTTTTTTTAAAAAATCATAAACTTAAACAGTTTATTGCTTTAGTATAAGAATGTTGAAATGCAAAATGGCCTTTTCTCAAACATCTTTTAAAGAAGTCTAAGCTCTTGGTGTTGATTTTTTGCAGGGATTTTTTTTTTTCCTTCAGCAAGTTGAGATTATTACAGGATAAAGCACTTGCCTGATTATTCTTTTTGTTTTTTTTTTTAATAATTGGGATTTGTGTTTTACTTTTAAAGCTCTGTGTAGTGAAGTTGTTAAAACATCAACTGTATTCGGGGTCTGCCCTATAAAAATGTATTAAATGTATATGTATCAGAGCTTTGTATTATTTTCTCAGTATTAGTGATAACATAGTATCTTAGAAGGAAACAATGAGTTTGTGAGCATTCTTGACGCCTTTTCCTTATTTCAACTAATTCACTAAATATTTGCTAAAGTTGATTCATTGACTCAAGTAACTATTTGTAATTTTTCATTCAATACATGTATCAGGATTATAAGATCTATTTTAAGAAATTATAATTAGTCATATATTTTACATACTTCAAATATGATTTTTTTTCTGTATTGATGTAAATAAAGGTCTGCCATTAACTCTTGTTTGGGGAATTAAAAAAGAAATTGATACCTTAAGTAGTTATTTCTGTAGCATACATGCTATTGAGTTTATGGAGTGTGTTTATGTTTTTAGTGCATCTTTAATACCTTCCACATCATACAAATACCCTTGTTGTTTTTAATGAAAATAGCATGCAACTTATTTTCGTGATTTTATTTTTATATTTGTTTTTATTTAAACTGCTGTTTAAGGTTTTGATAATATGAAAAAATTACTTATGTCTAATTTCAGCATTTAAAGAATTTCAGTGGTAAGAATGATATAATCCTCCCTAGTGATGTTTTTTCTTAAATGTCATACCTATAAGAAGTACTCATAATGAAATAAGTCAAATTATTCTGCAAGCGCTTTGATAAGTGGATATTTTAAAAGTGAATATATTTTTGTGTTGTCAGTATATGAAATATTTTCACCAAAATGTTCTGGTTTATATGCTTATTTTAGAACATAGGTTTTTTTTGTTGTTGTTTTGTTTTTTCCTTAAGTGCCTATTTTTCTCTGGACTAGTTCATTAAATATTGAGGTTCTTTTTTTTTTTAAACCGGTTAAAAAACATTTTAAATTAATTTTATCCTTTATTGTTTGTAGGAATGAGGAGTTACCTTTACTGAAAAGGCTTTTCGTTTATATCCTAGCCAACATTTCTATGACATACAAAGTTATTAGGACTGAATTGATGTTTAAAAGTGCCATTAATTCATTTACCCCAAATGTTCATTAACAATGTAAATGTATGCTGATGTTCTATAAGACAAGGAAGTGACTAATGACTCTTCCAACTAACAACACTTAAAATGAATAGAAACTTTAGATAGCTAATCTTGAAGTAATCAAGACCCTCATTCAGCTTGGCATCTCTGTATGCTCTAAAACAGCTGTCAACTGTTAAAAATATATACAAAACACACATACACGCACGCACATGCAGAAGAAAGATATGTAAATATCTAGTTCTTCAAAGCCGTAAAGGTTACTAACCGTAGTAGGTTTTGTGCGTTGTATATGTAAATATTTTATATAAAGCATACATTTCATCTTAGGTTTTCTTTTTGCAGAAAACCGTGTGTTGCATTTTAATGAGGTTGTCATATTTACTTGAAAAATCACCACCTTTTTAGTATGTTGGTTTATTTTAATATATGTCTTTCTTGGGGTTCTCCAGGTATTTGTAGCCTTTTACACAACTGAATGACTCATTTTGTAAGTAGTCAGACATTGGACTTAATCAGTGGTTTCCCTGTGTAGAAGTCCTGTTTTTCTGTTTGAGTTTTTAAAATTTCCTGTTGTATATTCCGTAAGTAAACAAATCTTTAATTTCTCAAATCTGAATTTTTAACATTTATAGAAAAACAGTACATTACTGAGTTAAATGATTCTGAGTATTCTGGAAAGGATTAGCAAAAATAGCCACATCATAGGTATGCTAGAGAGAAAATTACATATCATTGGTTTACTTTCATGGATGTTTGAGGAAAGTGGGTAAGGGCAGAAAAAAGAACTGTTTAGATATATATATGCAAAATCTTAGGGCGCATTTTCCATGTGAATTAACTGCTTTAATTTCTTTCTGAAACAGAAAGCAGCATAGAAAGTATGCTGTACTCTATTGCATTTGGTCATATACAAAAATTACCACCTTAAATTCCAAGATCTTTGATCAGAGGGTATTAATTAATAATTGACAAGTTACCTGTAATTCAATTGCAGCCATAAAAAAAAGTAAAACTGTTTTGTTCAGCTACTCATGATTATTCATTCTTAGCATGGAACTTTCAAGGATTAAATGAAAAAGTAATTATTTTATTTTAAACCGGAAAAAAACAATATCAAGATCTAGGGAAACTTAACCTATTAATAAAATAGTATTCTCTGAATTACTAATTGTTTTCCAATCTTACAAGAGCTTGGAATCTTGCTCATGATGAAAGAACATTTTCCTCTATTAGGTCTCTTTTGAGAATAGCATTTTGTTACATGTAGCCAGAGTTTTTAGCTTCAATTGTATATGCCTTCTTACAGCTTTCATAGTATTCAGATAATTACTTAATGTAATGCCTTTTTATAAAATATCTGTTTCAAAGCTTTCTTTCTAGCTCATGTATAAAATATTCAGTAACCTACTTAAGAAAAATCCAAGACATTCAGAATATCCTGCCTACTCCATTTTTGTCTCTTGTACTTTTTTGTCCCAATCTTCCTTTCTTTCTCTTACTATATCATAGAGTTTTATGACTAGAAGGGGGTGCGTGGCTTTACTGATGAATAAATTGGTGGTAATTCAATTAGTTTACTGAAGTTGATGTGATAAATGACACTGTTCTATTATGATCTTTAGTACGGTTTTTCCAGTTAGTAGAAGTGTCACTGAACTCAGGTTTGGCTGCTCACTGCTCGAAAAGTCAGCACTTGTGTGACAAGTGCTGATTAAGAACGGAAAGGTCACATTAATCAGAGAGCCGGCAATCTAGGGAGAACGCGGACTCCTGTCCCACAACCAATTCCGAAGATTCTGGTTGGCCACGAAAGTTTTTAAAAGGAAAGAGGGGAAATAATCTCAGTTACTCATTGAGATAGGGGTTCAGATTTGTAGCCATCTCCCATTGTGTGCAGGCTTGTCGACTCCTCTCCGTTTTTTGGAAAGATCCAAAAAATGATCTTTCTTTTTTAAAATTTTTATTGGTGTATGGTTCCTTTACAATATTGTGTTAGTTTATACTCTACAGCAAAGTGAATCAGCTATACGCATACGTATATCCCCTCTTTTTTTGGATTTCCTTCTCATTTAGGTCACCACAGAGCATTGAGCGGTGTGATCTTTCTTTAGATGCTATTTTGTTCACACAGTTTGATTGCGAGATTACTGAAGGGGGAGCTGGGGAAGAGATCCGGTCATCTGTTAATTACTCATTCTTCAATTCTACTTCTTTGATCTATGGAAAGAATCAACAGGTTAGGCAAAGTAGTGTGTGATCAAAAAGATTTGAAAGGTGTGCTTGGGCCGGAGGTTAGTTAAAATATAGCCTTGCTAAAGTGACAGGACAAAAGTGGCCTCCTGCAGAGAGCTACTTCCTGCAACAAACTGCCTGCAAAAATTTGCTTACAAATCACCGCTGTCAGACATCATTCCATTTCTGTGGGATTATGGGCGAAGGTCCATCTTCTATAACTTCTTCATGCTGACACAGGGTGCCATATTCTTAGAGTGGAAGATGTCGACATGGGTCTGTAGCATCTCTTTGCTGACAATTTTAGTTGCCTGCTTACATATATGGGGAGAAAAAGCCACAATTATTTTGATGCCCACAAAGATACAGATTATGATGAGCAATAGTGTTAATCCCACTGTCTTAAGGCCAGTTCTTGGAATTGTGCTAGCCATACATTCAGTACTGCTCAAGGTGGAGCAGCTTATGTCATGGCTGCAGTCTGTTCATCATGCAGTTAGCGTTTTCCCTCTGGTGGCAGTTACAGTATCTGTAAAACAACTCAGGAATGTGCATCAGACACTGAAGGATTCTGTGCCTCTATTGTCCTAATCATTGACTTCTTGAGCCTGCTCTTCTGTGACTCAGGGAAGCTTGGGAGACTTCAGCTCTTCTGTAAACAAGAGCTAGGGGATGTGGAGGGGCCTTTGTACTTGGAACAGGGCAGTGGCAGGGCTCTGCTTGGTTTCAGATGCAATCTAGAGCCAAGATGGAGGGATTCGTGGAGAGAGAAGGAGAGGAAGGATGGAGAACAGATGTTTAGGTGCAGTAAGTTCATTTGTTTGATGGCTGAGGGTTCAGTGAAATATCATTGATATTTCTCTTTCTTGATATGTTAGGGTGAGATAATTTGCTGATAGTGAGTGACAGAATGAAGCATTTGAAGATTTATGGAGAGCAACAAAGGTTAGATTGAGTTGAAAAAGAATATATAATCTTGGGGGCCAAGGTGATATTAGACATCATAATTTATAGGTGATACAAGCTTATAAACGTGTGTGATTATGTCTAGCAGAATTCAGCACCTAGGATTTAGCCACAATCAAAAGCAGGCAGTGGTTGGACTTACCTGGTGGCATGGTGGTTAAGAATCCACCTGCCAATGCAGGGGACACGGGTTCGATCCCTGGTCTGGGAAGATCCCACATGCCGTGGGGCAACTAA